ATATATATATATATATATATATATATATACAAGTATGTACAAATATAGATGTATATATGTATATACATATATATACAGTTCTTCATTTACACTCAACAAAGTAGTTGTGCCCTATGGCAAATAGCCGCGAGGAGACAGCGGGAAGCTGTTGGCTCGTTGAGCTGCAGCAACTGCTGCTGCTGCTGCAGCAGCTGTAGAAGCATCTGCAGCAAAGTCTTATGCTGGCATCTGTATCCTATTGTCTCTACTGCTTACTTCTGAGATGGGGGGCACTATCTGTCTCTATTTCTTTAGTCGGCGGAGGGCCGTGAAAGTTAGCAATATGCAGCTTATGGAGACCCGCAGCAACAGCTGCAACAGCAGACTGTATCCCCTATGAGTGTGCCTCGGGTGTACGTACAGCAGCTGGATCTGGCGGCTGCGTATATAGCTCAGCAACTGCACCAGATGTCTTGGCAGCTCGCCGGCTTCCGCTGTTTGTCTCCTTATCGTTCCACTGTCCCCTCTTGGGGCCGTCTCTCCGCTGAGGAGAGTGCACGAAAAGAAGGAAATGCTGGTCTCGCTGCTCCGAGATGCTCTGCGTCAAGGACGAGGGTTTAGGGTTTAGGGTTTAGAGATTCAGTGCTTCGTTCCCAGCGGGTCGTCGGGCCCGAGAACCCAGCGATTAATTCCCCTGGGATCTGTTCCTCTGGGATCGGTTTCAATGGGATCAGTTTATTTGGGATCGGTTCCTCGGGGATCGGGTGCTCTCGGGATCGGTTCCAGTGGGATCGGGTGCTCTCGGGATCGGTTCCCGTGGGATCGGTTCCTTTTGGCTCGGCTCCCTAGCGGGGCGATCCGGGATCGATGTGGGGGGTAGTAGGGATCCAGTGGATTGGCGTAATGAACGGAGCAAGGTGGTCTTCATTGATAATAAAAAATATTATTTTAAATAAATAATTTAAGTGCTACGGCTATATGGAGTTGCTGCTGCGCTTCTATCCTTCTTATTTAGTAGCTGCACAACGGGGCTAACGGCGGCAGCGTGTTGCTGTGTATGGGTAGGTTGCTGCTATGTTTGTGCTGCTGGTTTGCTGCATCTAAGAATTTATTCAGGCGCTGCAGCATCAAACAAAAGAGAAAAAGTAGGGCTTATTAACGCAATAAAACCGCTTTTTCCCGTATTTCTTTCCCCAAGATATAGATATACTTGGGGCCGCTCCCCCAGCCAAGGAAGGCCCCCGCTTTATAAGACGTCAGGACTGATGCATTTTTGTTCTATTTTGCGGGAAAACGATGAGCAGACCTCAGGCTCTGCTCTCATCCTTTCTGTGCAGCACTAGCAGATATGCGGGGAGGGTGCTGCGGCTCCCGCTGCAACTGCTGCAGCTGCAGCTGGTGCTGCTGCTGCTTGTAGCGCCACAGCAGCAGCATGCGGCTGCACAAGGGTTAGAGCCTCTGAATGCTGGTCCCCATGGGTCCACTGATTCGGTGATGAGTCTCCAAGAGGGCTTCTCAGGCCGTTCCCCTGGGATCGTCTCCTCCAAAGTGGGGTCGCCCGGCCCGGGGGGTTCGTTGCCTGAGGGGTGGTCTCCGGACGAGACGGAAGCAGCTGCTGCTGCAGCGGCAGCTGCCTCAGCAGCAGCTGGAGCCGCAGCAGCAGGAGCAGCAGCAGCATCTGCCTTCACACAGCCTGATCTCGACAACCCGCACAAGCTCCCGCAGCAGCTTCCAGCGGCGAGTCGGTACAGGGAATTGTTGTTTGATTTGGGGGAAGACTCAACGGAGGCCTATGCTACGTCTACTGCAGCAAAGCTACAGAAGGAGCAGATGGCTAGGGCAGCACGAAACCGGAGATGGACGTTGGGGCTGTTCTTGCTGGGGGCCTTCCTGATCTTTGGGGTTCTCTCCGTGCGGCATAACGCGAGGAAACGCCATTTACTTAAACGTTTGAGGAGGATGGAGGTCTTGGACTCGGAGGCAGAGCAGCTAGCTGAGGCCCTCGGTACTGAGGAGAGCCGGGTGCAGGGAGATGTTGTGCATAAGGCCCTACAGGAGGCGCAGCGTAGCAGAGAGGTTATGCAGCAAAAGCAGCACCAAAGGCCAATGCATGCGGCATGGGCTTGCAAGACGGAGCACGAGGCATTGAATACTATTGAGGGAATGCTGCAAGAAGCACTTTCTTCTCTTCGCTCTCTAGATGGTGCAGCACGGCAGGCTCTGCAGGACGCTCAAATGAATATGCCTGCTGGTGATGTATCCACACAGTGGGCTGAGGATACAGAAAAAAATCTGGAGGATCTAGTTGGGAAAGACTACGCCGAGTCTCTGTTGCGGCTGCTGACGTTGCTGCAAGAGGACGTCTCAGGGCTGCAAGCGACAGCAACCCAAGTGATGGAGCATTCAAAAGAAACGCAACCCTTTGTAAATGAGAAAGACGGGCTCCAGCTGAAGAGAACGCGCATGCAGCTGCAGTATGTAGGCTCTGTGGGTGGTGCGATTTCCGTTGACAACGAGACAGCATCACAGCTGCAGGCTCAGACACAGTCTGCGCTGCGGCAAGTGCTGAGGCAGGAGCTGGAGCGCCACATGCAAGTAGCAGCGTATGCAGTCGACCAAATGGACGCGATGTTGGAGATGTACACAGGGGAAGGTTGGGGTAGCTCGCCTCTTAGACCGGGGTTGCGTGTGCAAGCGCAACAGCACCTCAAGACCGCGAAGCAGTTTCAGGCTCAGCTGGAGGAAGAAAGCGAGGAGCTACAGAGGGTGGAGAGTGCAGAAGACATATCCTCGCTGTACGCCAGGGCGGATGAAACATATCAGGAAATAGAACGGGCGCTGAAGAGATGCGAAGATATCCTCAAGACGCTGCCTCCGCCTCCGTTGTTGGTGTTAGTTCAAGAGGAGCTGGTGGGGGTAGCAAAGAAGCACGTAGGAGGAGTGCAGAGGATCGCTGCTTCAGTGCGGGAAATCGTAAAGGCAGTAGAAAGCGAGGTGAGACTGGGAGTCAAGGTAGACACCAGCGTGCGCCTCAGCGGGCGCAGACCGTACACGTGCTCTGGTGCAGTGAATAATCTGTTGAAGGACTTGAAACAAGCAGCAGAAGAGGTAGACAGAAGCTGTAGTGCATGCGAGGCTGCAGTTAAAGCCATCACTCAGCGGCAGAGCGTAGCAGAAGTACAACGAGCAGCAGCAGAAGTGAAACAGGCAATCGCAGAAGCCGCCGGGGCGCGCTGTTCAGTTGAACATTTTCTCACGAAGTTCTCTCTATTGTACGCACTAGATGCCAGTATTGCAGATAGCGCCCAGGCAGCCAATTTATTTAAGTCCGATGCGGCGCTGCCTCCTAAAGAAGGCTCCAGTGCAGGGGAAGCGCAAAGCAAGGCAAACTCCCCAGCGAAGGGACGGGCCCCTAGCGCGTCAGTACTAGAAAAAATACAAAAGATGAGAGATGCATTTGACCTGGAATTAGCCTTTGTCGAAGAAGCTGCAACACTTGGTGAGGTAGCAGAAGCGGCCTCAAGAATGCGGCGAAGCGCAAGGAAGATCGTTTATATGGCGTACAGCTATGGCTCCGGCATAGCAGAGAAAGAAGGAGAAAAACCCAAAAGGCCCCCTGCGAAAGGCAGACGCCGCCAGAGGCGCAATAAAAAAGCCAAAGGAGAAACACGAGCAAAGGCAGAAGAAGACACTGTCGATTCGCCTCATGCTAATGAAGAAAGGATACACTTTCGTGCTGGTACGTATGAGGATGGAGACGGAACAACAGACGATGACGACGCTTACGATGAGGAAGATTATGACGCATCTGGTGAGTCAGACACAGACGAAGAATCAGAGCAACAAGACTTTCCTGAGTCTCCCGATGCTGGAGAAGAAAGCTTGGATCCGTGGGGTGCTATAGCAGGCGGAATACATGAGGCTGGTGATCCTGGAGCGCCTGCTGCCAGTGAAGATGATAAGTCTTCTGATCGTGGCGCTGCAGAACCAGCGTATGCACCTGGAGCAGCGGGTGATCCTAAAGAAAGTGACCCTGTCCTAGAAAGTGGTGGTCCTATTGGAGGGGCACGTGATCCTAGTGAAGAAACCACTGTGCGAGTTGTAGAAGTGGGTGATTCTGCTGGAGAATTGGATGCTCCTTTTGGAGAAATGGGTGGTCCTGTTGAAGGAGTGGGTGTGCCTGTTGGAGAAGTGGGTGATCCTGCTGGAGCAGTGGGTGAACCTGCTGGAGACACAACTGACGTTTCTGAACGTCGGGATGCTCTTGCTGGAAGCACGGGTGGGAGCGGAGAAACGGGTGGTCCTACTGGAGGAACGGCTGATCCTGCTGGAGAAACGGGTGATCCTGCTGGAGAAACGGATGGTCCTGCTGGAGGAACGGGTGATCCCACTGGAGAAACGGGTGATCCTGCTGGAGAAACGGGTGATCCTGCTGGAGAAAGTCGTGATCCTGCTGGAGAAACTCGTGATCCTGTTGGAGAAACGGGTGATGCTGCTGGAGAAACGGGTGATCCTGCTGGAGAAACTCGTGATCCTGCTGAAATGGGTGAGCAAGTTGGAGAAACGGGTGATCCTGCTGGAGAAACGGGTGATCCTGCTGGAGAAACGGGTGATCCTGCTGGAGAAACGGGTGATCCTGCTGAAGAAACGGGTGATCCTGCTGGAGAAATGGGTGACCCTGCTGGAGAAACGGGTGATCCTGCTGGAGAAACGGGTGATCCTGCTGGAGCAACCGGCTATCCTGGTGGAGAATCTGCTGGAGAAACGGGTTATCCTGCTGGGCAAACGGATAATCCTGCCGAAGGCGTAGGGAATCTTGCCGGATCGGTCCGTGGGCTTCCTGGAGAAGCGGGTGGGCTTCCTGGAGCAATGGGCGATCCTTCTGGGGCAGCGGGTGATACTGCTGGAGTTCCCCCTGAAGAAACGACTGGCCCTGTTTTAGCAGTTGGTGATCCTGAGACGAGTGATCCTAGTGAAGAAACCACTGATCCAGTTGTAGAAGCGGACAGTCCTGATGAAAAGGCGAGTGAACGTAATGAAGAAATGAGTGATCCTAGTGGGGAAACGAGTAAACCTAATGAAGAACCCACAGATCTAGAAACGGTTGATACTGATGGAGAAGCGGGTGGTCCTGCTGAAGAAACGGGTGATCGTGTTGGAGAAACAGATGGTCACGTTGAAGAAGCGGATGGTCCTGCTGGAGAATTGGGTGGTCCTGCTGGAGCAATGCGTGAGCCTGTTGAATCAAACGGCGAGCGTGTTGGAGGCATGGGCGATTCTGAAGAAACGGATGATCCTGGTGCAGGAATAGACGATCGTACTGAGTGATCCTGCAGGGGATCCTGATGGGCCAACGGGTGATCCGGAGGAATATGTGAGCCTGTTGGGTCATCCTGCTGGAACAACGGGTAATCCTGCAGGTGATCCTACTGGAGAAACGGGTGCTCCTACTAGTGAAATGGGTGATCCTGCTGGAGCAATAATGGGTGGGCCTGTTGGAGGAATGGGTGGTCCTGGTGGAGAAACGGGTGATCCTGCCGGAGCAATGGGTGATCCTGCCAGAGCAATGGGTGGGCCTCTTGGAGGGGCGATCCTACTGGATAAGCGGGTTACCCTTCCAGAGCAATGGGCGAGCCTGTTAGAGGAAGGGGTGGTCCTACTGGAAAAATGGATGATCCTGCTGGAGCAACGGGTAAGCCTGTTGGAGCAACGGGTGATCCTGCTGAAGCAACAGGTGATGCTGCAGCATCAACGGGTGATCTTGCTGCAGGTCATGCAGGAACACACCTTGGTGTGTATCTTGGGATGCTGCCCAATTCACTGCTTTATAAGCGGGTTTCCAACAGTAACAGAGAAGCTGCTTCTTTGCTGCTTGAGGACAGCAAGGAGACCGCTGCAACAGCAGCAGCAGCAGTGACAGGTCTGAGGCCCCAGTGTCCCGGGGCTAGAGGTGTCTGTACACCGTACAGACATCTCTGCGATTTTCAGAGAAACTCTAGGCGTCTCCTTCGCATCGTCTCCTGCTCTGCGGGTAGACTGAAAAGGAGGTGCCTCGCCTCACAAACCGCCGCCAGCATATGCGCCTTACGAACAGCAGCAGCAGCAAAAGCAGCAGAGAAGCACTGGCGAAGGCAGACGGACAAAACGACAGGGTTCCTGCTGATTCAGACAGCATGATTGAGCTGTTAAGGCGTTTTGCTTGTTAAGATTCAGACCCGTCCTCCCTACTCAGGTGAAGGCCCCCGAAACGAAGAAAAGTGGGCCCTGCGCAAGCGGAGTGCTGCAGTTGTTGCTGCGACTGCTGCAACCGCTGAGCAGCATTTCTAGATCGTCTGCTTTGGCGGAGAGAGGTTCGCCTCGATCCAGCAGAGAGTGTATTGATGATGATGGGCCCCGAGGTCGCCTAGGGCCCCACTGCCCTGCAGCTTGCTGCAGAGGTCAGATCAGCTAGAGCTGTGGTTCTGTCGTAAAGGGACTATCGAGGAGACAGGCGGACAGCGGAGTGTCTGCGCTGCCTTTCCTTTGCTTTTTTCAATTGAGGGTGTGTGCAACGAAAAGTGTGGAGTGTCTGTTTGTGTCTCTTCCTCTCTGCTTCACGTCGCTGTGCTCGTGCGTCTTCGCCCTGTGCTGTCTGTTCATTCTGTATATTTATTTCTGTGCCTGTCTCGGTTTCCCTCGCCACGCGGTTGCGCTTGCCGTTGCCTTTTTAGCCCTCCGCTATTCATTTCTCTCCGGCGTGGGCTCTCTTGGGCCCCTTTGTCGGCCTGGCTCTTTCTGTGGGGTGTACGTACAGCCCAGGGCCAGGGCGCCGTCTCCTTTGAAGTCGGGCCCCACAGCAGTGCGTGGCCCCACAACAACGCAGGGCGGAAGTGAAGACAGACTCGTGTAGTGCGGGCCTGTCTGCACTCGTTCGAATACGGGAGCAGCAGCATGGAGACGAAAATAACCTTGCTGCTGCATGTCTCCTCCTATTTCCAACGCTTTCCTGCTTTTTCCGCTCTGTCGCGAGCTGCTCTATTACTTTCTATTTGGTAGAACTTCTGCAGCAGCAGCAGACTAAGGAGTATATGTGCAACTTCCCTCCTCCACAACCCAGCGTAGCTGTAGCAACGCAGAGAGCAAAAGAAGCAGCAGCAACAATGGCAGCGGCAGCAGCATGAGAAAGAAGTCATCGAGCGAGTCTAATTCGTTCTGTAGCCTTGTAGTATGAATGTGCGTGAGAGGGAGACAGGGAAAACGCGTGAAGGGGTGTAGTTCAAATCAAATTCCTCTCCAAGACAAAAACGAAAGCACTTTATAGAGACGGATTCTGTATAAGGAGACAAGTGAAGGGACATCATGTTTAAGGCGAGACAGATGAAGAGACAGATTCTTCTTAGGCTTCGGAAAAAGGGAGAGACTCGGTTTAGGGAGACAGAAGAAGAGAGATCTTGTGTCGCGTGGGGCAAACGAAGTGAGATTCTGTCTAGAGGGAGAGGACAAGAGAAATATACCTGTTCGTCTGTTTCAAGGCAACACGCACGGGACGACCAGCAAAAGTATGTAAAGGCACACTAAGCAGAAACAGCCTCCGCCAGGCACAACCTCAGCCTCC